AATGTTGATTTGCAAAGACACCTGAAAACATTTTTGTAAGAGTCTCAGTAATTTTTGCTCTCAGTTGTCTGCTGCTACTCTACCTATTTTCATAACCTTTTAATTATCTTCTAATATTAAGATGCAACACACCTGATGCACTAACCTACAGTGTTCCTACTTCTTATGAAAGTAGGGCTTTTTTGCTTGTTTTTTGCTGTCTGTACAAGTATTGCATTTCAAATACTGTCTGAATTTCAAGTATTCCATGTAGAAACAGAAACTAAAGATGAAAGTAAATGTTTATATACTTTAAAATATCAGCCTTCCACTTAATAGCAGTACTTGCACAGATCAAACAGTATCTCAGTGTATATCTTGAAAATACTGAAGATTAAATATTTTATATCACATTCTATTTTCCCCCAAGTATACAGCCACAATATCATAGTTTCACAGCATTTTTAAAGAACATGGATATTGACACTGGCTTTGCAAACAGGTGAACACATTTTAAATGCCTCTTTTGACACATAAGATCAAGAGACTACACAAAAACAATACTATTTGTACTAAAAAATCAAGCACTCCAAAACATGAAAAACCACATAGTATTCCCAGCTAACACTGTAACCCTTTTGGTTTGTGCACCCATCCTGCTTGCTGAATAAGGCAACAGTTATAACGAACATGGACGAGTAGCAACAGAAAAAAACCCAAACAAACAAACAAACAAAAAACCACATGAAAAGAACAAAGAGTCAGTACAAAACAACTAACAGAGACAAGAAGATAGATTTAGATTGCCAAGCAAACCCTAAAAGTCAGGATTTCCTAACTTGAAAATTCTGGACCTGCAATCAAAATTGAATGCTTCTAGCATTCTTTTAGGAAAAAAACCCAAACTATCAACCAGGCAAAATTCAACAGTTACGTATCACCTGCAGGAATACTACACTGCCAGAACTAATTTGCCACTTTGTTTAGCCAAACTAGCTGGTGGGAGGACACTTTTCTCACCACCATTTGCCGAGAAGTGCAGGTGTTGTCTGTCCCTCTCATACAGAGGGATAGTTTGAGAAAGTCCTTCCCCACTCTCCTCCCCACATAGCACAGCTGTTCCATCCTGTGGGAAATGCAACTTTTAGTCTAAGCTAATTTCTGCCCTTAAAACATTTAAAAAAGATGATGATACAAGCACTCCTGTAATGTAAAAGATGTAACCAACAACCTTCAACAGTTTTACATTTCAACAACAATTGAACGGAATTTCCTAGTAAAGAAGCAGCACAGTTCTACAGCTGGAAGATCTGATGTACATCCTACATATATATATTACAAGTGCTAAGCAAGTTACAAGTTAGAATTGACAGCACTGAAAGCTGAAGCCACCTTAAAGCTCTAACATGACCTACTGCGTGTTTGGAAGTAGACACTCAGGTATAGGCTTTCTAAAACACCCAGGCAACAGAACAGAACAGACCCAGCATTAAAAATAAATAAACTTGAAAAAAAAAAAAAGAGAGAGAGATAGGAGGCAAGCATTCATCTCTTATCATGAACGGTTAGCAGCTTCTGATTGTACACTCTTAAATCAGTAGTCCACAGATGAAAGGCTGAGAGGCTATATAATTAGATTATAAATGACCTACAGAATGACACTATCTATGTAATTTAACAGCCAAAAGCTTAGAGTATGACACCTGTGTAAGAAATTCTGGTCAAAATCATTCAAGGCAGTAGCACAGAAATCTGACCCAAAGGTAAACAGAAATTCACTACAAAAGTTCTGTAGAAATTATGAAGTATGTTGATCTACATCAGTCTTTTTAACATAGTCTGAACTTCAGGATAAGTGTTTTAGAAACAGACTTATAAAGATGGCGTTATTCAAATAACCAGTCTTTCATATAATAGTCACTCACTATCTGGGAAAGGAAACAGCACATGAACACTCCACCTCAAACTAAATGTAAATTGGAAGATGGTTTTCCTCAAGCTTCACCAGGTGTGCTCAGGGGCTACATTTACCAAGTATCTGAAGATCACAATGATCTTCACATTTGTATACTTTTTCAACTACCAACTCTGAAGAGCCAGTAATACGCCAAGGAGACATATAGTCTAGTTATTAATGATTAAGAAAGTGAACCAAACTAAACATCTCCACGTATCTCAATCTCAACAGATGTATGAAAAGATTAACATTAAATTCTTCAGGAAAAAAGCACAAGTGTTTAAATACTGAGAGTATATATTTTTTCTCTGGTAATTTAAAGACCTTAATTACTCTTCCTTGAATTCTTTGAAAAGGCAAATCATGCTTCAGCTCCAAGGGAAAAAAAGCATATTAAAAAAAGATTAGAGAACAGGGATCATTGAAATGAAGACTGCTGTAAATTGATCCATGTAATTCTTTATTAGTTTATGGGTATGTACTTAACTCCTACAGAAACAAGAGTGTTTCCTAAAGGGGAAAAAAATTATTTAAAAGTAAGAACAGCCAAAGAAAACTCGACAGCTGAGATTTGGCTCTGCACCATAATCACTTTTCCTTGTAATATACCTATTGCTGTTTTGCTTTTAATTCAGGTGTCAGTTATCTAGAACTAAGCATGTTCACATTACAACAAGCACTTAAGCAAGGGTCTCCCTCGGCTGAAGACAAGTGATTTATAACAAAGCTCAACTTTAAAACAGCTTTAAACTGTGCACATTTTGTACATGTTTGACATAAAAGTACAGGAACTAAACTTGTCTTGGGAAATATGAAAATCAGCATAAATAGAAGAAAGATGAACTTCTCTGCAGTCTTGAAAAGAAGTCATTAAAAACTAAAAAAAAAAAAGTCTTTGTATTTCTGTTCCTGGCATCTCATGACACCATTAAAAAACAGCAAACTGAAGGTAAAACATTTTTAGAGTCAGGCTTTTGTAGAAGTTACCAATGGGAAGAACTGCCAGAGGCACAACTGAGAACATACATTCTAATCCTCTACTCTTAGTTCATGTTCTTCTTTATATTGCCTTAAAAAAAGCAAAACAAAACCACACTAAACTACCAATTGGGACTGTACTAATTAAGACAAAGCCAAGTTCCTTTACACCAACTCCCCCCTTCCATGGACAACAGTTCCTGTTTAAACAGCAGTATTAGTTGCCTACTGTCAACTTCAGCTTTGCTGCAGTGCATCACTAAACAAAAATACCATTTTACCAAGCAAATCATAACAGAGAACAGTGCAATGAATCTGATGTTTGCAAGCACCACCTGGAAGCTGAAGGCTTTTTGTCAGTCAATAGCTTCTTACATTAACAAAACTTCTTACAGGAAAGGACTGCAGTCTCAAAACATGTATTTATTTAGATTAATTTAAACAGATATAATTGTCCACTACCTGAGACTTGGTAGTCAGCTACTTAAAAGGCATTGTTTACTTGCATTATTTTAAAAGCCCTCATTGCCTTTACATTCAGAGTCCTGTCATTCTGAATGTAAATAATCCTCCACATGGAAGTGGTGCCTGTTTTGAGAAACTTTCCAAATGACTGTTCTTAAATTATTAACAATAAAATTCAAGGGGTAAACAAATATATTGATGTTGTAGTAGCTAGGGAAAAAAACCAAATACTCTAAAAAAATTTGGGTTTTGTCCCAATAGTGATTTTTGCATTTCTCAGTGCAAGTATATTATGTATAAAACATTCAGAAAAGCCAAAACTGTATCTTTCTACCACAGAAAGACTTCTTGCTCAAATCTCAGATGCAAATTGTTTCCACTGCTGAAATGCATTACCTCAGATTAACTGAAAAAATTCTGAAAAGAGATGCTACTGTTAAGATACAACTAACTGAAGTTCATGTAGAATTTCTCAACTCCTGAAATAAAGATATTAAAAACTTAGTTTCTACCCCAATTCTATTATTACTTATGAACACATAACTTGTGACAACCCTGCTTTCTGGTGAGTCACATCGCCAAACACATCAAATCTAGAGCCACCTGGCAGCTCCCAGATCACCACTGGTAAAATACAAAAAGATGGTATGGTAAATGTAAGAAGCAATTTCAGTTCTGGTGTTCACGGCTTATATTCACACTCAGATAAAAAAACTCCTGGAAGAACTGCAAAAGACACACTAATACTCCTTATGAAGTATAATTTGGTAAAGCAAAGACATGATTAGTATTAAAACTGTCAAATGTTTGAATTAAATTTCTTTACAACATTAACATTTCACTGAAGTTACATGACAGATGTTTGATAGCTGTCATTGAACAGGAAGGCCCATTCATTTCAGGTTGCATGACTACATTAAGTAACTAACTTACCATCACTTACTTGTTAATTTTTTTTTTAAAGTCTGCAAGTTATCAAATTCATTCAAGCCTGGATAAACACTATTGCATTTGCAAAAGGAAAAATACAAGTTTCAGAAAAAGTTATTCTGCCCCATAGGAAAATACTTCCTTGAAGGTTTTTTGCCCCACTTACATAGACCTTACAGGGTGAATTCATATTTAATTTAGGTGAGACGGACAGTATTCAAAATGTATAGACACAAATGTAATTTTTATTTTGGGGCTCTTAAATTAGAAAAAGTAGTTCAGATCCCAAAATTACAAATAAAATTAACCTTGAACTTGGCTGGTCTTTTTAAAATATTTAATATATTTTAACATCTGCTATTCTGAATTCAGCGGTTAAGCCTCAAAAGTACAGTGAATGACAACTGAACACACAACATGACTTGGTCTGACAAAGAAAAAAAAAAGGTTTTCTGAGGACAAGACAGATCACTTGATCACTTACTAATTTAATTTCTCTGAGGAAGTTACTGCATTTTTAATGCAACTCCATCAAAGTACAACATACATAACTAACACTAATCCTCTGAGAATGGCCATTAGGGAAAGCATGTAAGAAATGTACAAAAACTTCATGTCGGCATCTAAAAGCACTGGTTTAAAATTAAGCAGACACTTAAGTAAAGGTTTCTTGCTTGGATAGTTTGCTTACCTCTGGGGGGGGATATAAGGAGCAGATACTGTTGGCATAACTGTACAGGGTTCAACCACTGTTTTCTTGGCTTTTTTTGTCTTTTTTCTGACTTTTGATGTAGACCTAGCAGTTCTGACTGATCCTTCCTTTCTACAAACACCGTTTTTGATTTCAGCTTCTCCATAAATATTCAGAGGTCTCCGTGTGCAACCTGGTGGAGTATGTACATCGCAGTAGGCAGTCTTTTTCACAGAGAACGTTGTTCCACTGCCAGTTAGTTCTTTCACAGGTTCCATTTTCATATACAGACCGGCCTTTTGAGCACACGTCACATGGAATGCAGTATAGCAGTTTGCTTTGTGGCACTGGATGCAGGCACCAACACCTTTCTGTTTACAGAGGTAGCATGTTAACTTCCATCTGGCTGGGGGAATGTTCCTGACACCATCAATTGGCTCAATAAAAACTGTATTGGCAAATCCAACTTCTGGAATCCACAAAGCACACACCACGTGTCCCCAACGATCATCATCAGTCTTTTTAAAGGCACCTCCCTTGTTTGGGCACAGCACACAGTCTACAGGCCGAGAGCGGGACTGCAAACAGTGTCTGCAGAGCCACTGGCCCTCAGGTATATATGGCACCCCATAGCATTCCTGATGTACTGCTAAATTACACATATCACAAAACAGGATCACATTGCTGTTCTGACATTCACCATCCATGCATATACAACACACTGCATCTTCATCAATTAAAGATTGATGATCACCCTGTTTTTGGTTCTCACAATACGACTCTTTTTCAAACCTATCCATAAGGAATTCAAACATATTTTGTGAAACAACTGACACGCCATCACTTTTCCGCTTATCATTTATCAATTCTAACCACGCATAATCTTCTTCATCCATGTCATACTCAACTTCATTATCAAGTTCTTCTGCTGACTTCTCAATGAATTTGTAATAAACTGGAGGTCTCCGAGGAGCCGAAGGGGGACTGTATTCAACAATCCGTACTTTTGGTTCTGGAAGAGGAGCTGTTGTAGCAGGTATACCATGTGAGCTCGGAAGAGCTTCATTTTTCTTTTTCACTTTGTTATTTTTATGCCGCTTGCTTCTCAGACAAACTGGTGGTCTTTCACTATTTTCTTTATTGCTGTTGCATTCGCTCATTTCCTGGGCGGTAAGATCATCTTCTAATATAATCTCTAAAGGATCAAAGATACTGATCCTGTGCAGGCGACCTTCAATTTCTATTTCAACCATCCTTTGAGCTTGAGCATATGTCAAGGTTTCTCGTGTGGGGGAGTGTTTAATACTGCACGGGGAAGAAGAATGCCTGGCTGCCGATACTCGATGGCATCTTCCTTTTCTCCTCATTTGGTAATGTTTACCTAAAATTAGAGCAACAGTTAATATTATGAACTTCAATCAATCATATTAAAATATGTAACAAGGAAAAAAACCTTCAGTTCTACAGCCCCCAATATACCTACTCAATTAAAAAGAAACAAAACCAAAAGCCTGTCACTCTTACTCAACAGGAATGCTCACACTGCTTCATACAAGTTTAACCTAATGATCAAATGATCTTCTAAATAACAGCTTCTCTGAGTAAACACAGCTAAACAATATCCTTGCTGCAAAAATCCTACAAAAGTGCTATCTGCAAGGCTGCTGCATGAGAACCAAAACATTTCAGAAGTGCCACAGATAAAAAAACCTGGCATTTGTTACCTTATAAGAAAACCTTTACTACAGTATTTCCTAATACCTTAAGGGTGCCTGCAGTTTGACAATTTTTTCAACAGGTACAGATTACTTTCTCCAGACCTCTCTTCAAAAGCACTAATGCAATTGTGAAAGAAAACCGAATTTTTCGATGAATTTTTTCCAGTGCAATTTGGAACAGTCACGTTATCTACTATTACAATTACTACACCTATACTTAAAGGAAGAAAAATGCACATACTTCAAAATTTGGCAAGTATGCAGTTTGACAGCCATTTACTTTTTTTAACTTTCCTCAGTCCTTAGTGAGCCTATTATTCTTCATAACGTGACAAGAACATAACTGAACTTGTGGTGCCCAATATGGTGCAGTATGGACTGCAACTAGGAAATATTCCACCTGTAAAGCCGATTTGACTTAGAGCCAAAACATGCTCCCTGCTTTTAAGTATGCATGTACACACACACTTCTCCCTCAACAGATTCTTCAAGAGCTATTTGCAGATCAACCACCATGACAGATAAAAGCCTCCCTGTCTTTAAATCCAGTCCCAAGCTCTTTAACACCGTTTTCAAGTTTATGACCTACTGCAAAAAAACCCAACAACATACCATACAAAAAGATATCTTCTCAGACAAGCAATGGATTTTGGTCACAAAATTTCTAAATTAAAAGCTTCCATACTTCTGCCTTTTGACATCTTCACACTGTGTGGGGTTTGTCTCCTGTGAGGGTTGAAAATATTATAAACCTGACCGATAAAGTCAAGTATAAAATTCTATACCACTCCTTCCTTCTTCTCAATAAATCATTAATAAATAGCATCATTCAACCCCAGCTGGAGAAAAAAAGCCTTGAATCACTGCCTTAAAGTATTAATAGGGCCTCACTGTTTCAACTCTGCATTTTGAGTCAGTGCTGCATATTAGTTAAAATAACACAACTATTGCTAGCATGTATTGCCAAAATAGCAGAGAAATACAGAGATCAAAATACAACTACTGTTGAACGCTAGTGTATCTATTTCAAGGAAGAAAATGGCAAGCACTGGAACAACAAGAACTACTCCAGGTCGTCTGTCTTTTCCTTAGTCTATGATGCCAATCTTAAAGATCCACCTTCAAAGTGCTGATGGAACTCCTTAATTTATAGGAAGACTAAACAATTTAAGCAGCTAACCCTAAGACTAGTTCCTGAGAGGATCTATCTGCTTTCACAAACTGACCTTGCTTTCTCAAATTGAATTGGCTTTATTATTCATCAAGAATGGTGCTGCTCATAGATCTGACTTTGATAAAAATAATTCTTAACTCTTACCTGTTTTTATAGCATAAAAACAGGCAACAGTCAGTGCTGAATCATGACAGATCTCTGATCTGCTCTATATAAACAACAGATGAAGGTTCCACCTTTTCAAAAAAGTTTAAAAGAAATATTTAATAATTAAATTCTGTAAAATAACATAGGATTCGATCACACTGATTTCTTAACTGTAGAAAAAAGTTTAAACCACTAATACTGCCACAGAAGGTCCAGTGACTAAAAACATACTGATAATTTAATGGACATTAAAAGTTAGTTCCCAGTTTCCACACAGATTTTATAATTCAGAGGTAATACATATACACTCAAAGGTAATACAAAGGCTCTGATTTCTGTTTATTACTGTGAGCAAATAATGGCAGATTCTTCATCTAAAATACACTGATGTGTCAATGTACAGTAACTTACTAGAGATCAGAATGGATTCATTTTATATGACTTTGTTCTATATGTCTGTCTTTACTCGCCAGTCAAGGAAAACAGATAGTTTATATCATGTTTACCTCATATAATTGCATTTCAATTCTGTCTAGATGTGAAAGTCTGTTTTGATATTTTTAATGCCCCTTTCTACATCTTAGCTGGTTGTATATCTGTTCATAGTGGCTCCTGAGAATAGAGACTGTTTTGAAAACAATACCGAGAAAGGGACAAGAGGTGGCCTTCAAAAACCAAACACATGTGTAACTTGTCCATGCTATTTATCTTAGCCCAATACCACAGAAAAATACATAATTGCTCAGCTTCCAAGCTCTCCAACCCACTCTGTTCACAAGATTCTTAAGCAGGGCTTCAAGCAGACACTAAGAACAGGAAGAAAATACTCAAAAACACAAGCACTCTTGCTTAAATATTTAGGACTGCTGTTGTCAAGTCAAAGAAACTGTATAACCCAGAATGATAAAAGATGATTGAGCTATCACCTAAACATCTTTCCTGCAAAAAGTCAACAGTAAATACAGCCGACTTAGGAAACAAATTAAACCTCGGTTAAACACACAGTGGATACCCTACAAATACAATGCAGTGCACACAGAATCGGAACTGGTAGTTCTCTGGACAAATTCTATGCAAATTTAGTGTGAATAACTTAAATGCCCCGGAAGCCAAAGCAGTGTTTTGTTTCTTCAAAATCCTTCTGTTTGCAAACGTTTGCAATACTCCAGATGAAGACTACATTTCTGCATAGCAAGTTCACAGAATCACAGAAAATGCTGAGTTGGAAAGGACCCACAAGGATCATCGAGTCCAACTCCTGGCCCTCCACAGGACCATCCCCAAGATTCACACCATGTGCCTCAAAATATTGTCCAAACACTTCTTGAACTCTGGCAGGCGTGGTGCTGTGACCGCTTCTGGCTTACTTTTCAGAGATAATTATCAGGTATTTTTCTCCCTCCCCTCTACTCACAGTATCCTGTAGATCGACAGAAATCACGACCACGGACTTAAGTTTGAAAAAGGGCAAATTGAGACAAGTTTCCATTCAACATTAACAAAGATACCACACTAACTGCAAACAATATAGTATCAGGGCACTTCTGTAAGCACTTTTCTACCTCTACAACGACTCAAAGACTGCAGGATATAAACCAGGAAAGTTATCCATAGCCTTCCTCTCGTAGAACTCCATTAGCTTCTTGGGAAGAAAGTCACTAGTAGACATTTTCCCTCACCATCAACAAAAGTACATGAAGACAGCTGTTTCGTGTGGTATGAGGCAAAAAAAACTATCAAGGTGTAGGATAACTTAACATGAAAAGCACGATAACGTAAAGTTTCTGATTACTAATCTCTGTCCTAGTTACCTTCCTCCTCTTCAAATAAAGTGCCTTTGGTCCCTGGATCCCCTGCTCAATGGAAAAGGGAATTCCACTCTCAATGGGCACTTTCATGCAGACCATTAAAAAGAGAAAGACACAGGAATGCTCTTTAATCCCGGACAATGAAGGACGGTAAGCACACCGTGCTTACTCTCATAGGGGGCGGATACCACCCCCGCTCCAGCCGCGCAGCAGGAGCGACCCCCGAGCGATGCCCCCCGGGCGCGGCACAGAGCGAGGCTCAGGGAGCCCAGCGAGTCGACCCGGGAACAGCCGAGAGAGACGCGGGGACACCGGAGCAGCATCTCCCTCGGGCCGGCGGATGGAGCCCGCCGACGCCAGACCCCGCAGCCATCCCGGGATCCCGCAGCCCGCGCGCGGCGCCCACGCCCCCAGGCCCGCCCTCGCCGGTGCCGCGCCAACACTTCCTGCCCACGCCCAGGGAGCCTCCAGCGCTCCCTCCCCTCCGCGCCGATGGTTCCTGCCGGCGCGGCGCTCCCCCCTCCCGGCCCCCGGCACGATGGTTCCTGCCCGGGCCCATCATCTCCAGCCCTTCCCAACAGTCACTCCCTCCCCGCCGCGAAAATACTCGGCCCACAAATATGGCGGCTGACAAAACAGCTCCAGCGGCGCCCTCCTCCCTCCCTCCCCAGCCTGCCGCGCTCCGCCTCGCCTCTCCGCCCACCCGCCCTTCGCTTCCCTACCCCGGGCTACCGTGCCCAACCCGCCTCGCTCTTCCCCCCACGCCGCTCTCCTGTCCCGCCGCGGTCAGAACCGCCAGCTCCCGGCCCTGCAGCCCCCGCCCGCCGGCCCCGCCGCCCGCCCGGCCGCACTCACGCTGTGGGAGCCGCCGAGGCGCGGCTGACAGACCTCCCGCTCCGCCGCTGCGGCCGACGCTCGGCCGGGTTAATGGCGGAGGCCCCGCCGGTGCTGCCGCCTGGCCCCGCGTCCGGCAGCCGCGGGCGGGCGAGCGGGCGCTGCGAGGGCCGCGCTGCCCGCGGCGGACACCCGGCGCTGGGTGCGGGGCTGCTGTTGCCGCCGGGCGCGGCGCATTCGTGAGGCGCGGCGCGGGTCGCCGTCCGGCTGCGGGCTCGGCGCTCGGCTCCCGGGGCTGAGCGGCTCCCCTCCCCCCGCGGCACAAACAATGCGGCTTCACCACAGCGCTGCGCCGACGGGGGGGAGGAGGAGAGGCGGGCGGGGAGCGAGCGAGCGAGCGAGGGAGGGAAGGGACGTGAGGGCGCCAGGCACCGCCCAGCCCCGCCGCTGCCACCGCCGCGGGGCGGGGCCTGAGCGCCGCCTCTCCCCCCGCCTGGGGCCGGCACCGGCCGTGCTCGGGGCTCGGAGGGGAACGAGCCGCCCCCGGGGCCGCCGCGCTCCCGCCCAACGCCGGCCGGCCAGGGCCCGAGCCCGCCACGCGTCCCCGGCGGATCATCCGAACGCCTCAGGCACGGGGGGAACGGGGGAGGAGGAGAAGAACGGGGAACGAACGGGGGCGGGACGCGGCTCGTTACAAAAC